AACGCCCGACCCGCCCTTTCGACCGGCCTCGGGGTGCGACGGGGAACAGTTGAATAGAAGGAAAAGGATTGGAGGAGAAGGGGGAGGAGAGGGGGGGACGCGGGGGGTACGAGGAAAAAGAGGAGGCGGAGAAAGGAGGAGGAGGCGGCGGGAGAGGGGGAGAGGGAGGAGGAGGAAGACGAGGAGGAAGAGGAGAAGGAGGAGGAGGAGAGGGAGGGAGGGAGGGAGGGAGGGGGGGGAGCGGAAAGGGCAGGGGTAGAAGATCGAGGAGGTCGAAGAGGTATGGCATCTCCGCAAGAAGAGCGAACAGAGCCCGGCAGAAGAGGGAAACATCCAGTTGAGATCGGCGATACGTCGCCGATGGATAGGCGATGGGCCCCAGATAGCGAAGCCGCACGGTCCTGGGCGGAATGGGCTTTCGGCCCCCCATCGGCGATGAATGGGCGATTGGGGGTCGATGAACCCATCTAAGTCTACCACCCCATTTTTTAATATAAAAAAGTGTTTGTATTATTATTGTTTGTATCTTATTTTTTCCTTTTTATTATGTATTATTTGTTTTAAGTCTATCACCCCCTAATGTTGCCCACTTCCGCCAGCGCCTGGCCCGGCTCGCCGGCGGGGGATGGCCAGCAGAACGCTCGCTGGCGGGGTGCTCAGCAGGAACATATATGATCGTAGGTTGGAGACCTAGCTGGGCCTGGGAAAAGGCAGAAATCGAGAAGCACGAGAAACGACAGCACAAAAGCAGTAAGGGGACTGCGGGTGCTCGCCGAAGAAGATGCCAACGATCGCTCCAGAGCGCACTAAGGACCAATCAGCGCATGCACACCAGGGCGACCATGAGCTCACCCCAAACATGCTCACTACGCCTGTCCATGAGCACCAGGCACTCGAGACTGGCCTGGCGCGCAGGCCATCCTGACCATGCCGGTAGTATCTGCATGCCGCTCGTCCCCGTCCTCATTATCATCCTCCTCCTCCTCCTCCTCCTCCTCCTCGTCCTCCTCCTCCTCCTCCTCCTCCTCCTCCTCCTCCAACTCCGTAGCCATTTTGGCTCAGGTTTTCCCGTAGGCCCCCCACTCCTAGACTCTTCCTCGGCGTACTCTGCGACCCCAGACTCACGGGGCAACGCGGAGGGCCTGAGGGAGGGGGGGGGGCGGGGCTTTGGGCTCAACGGGAACGGCGACGGGGGGAGGCCCGAGAGCGTGGCGGCCTTCGGAGTCCAGGTGGCGCGACATCGCCGCGCTCGGCGCCACCGCCGCCCGTCGTGCGACAAGACAGCGGCGCCGAGCCGCCTGCGAGGCTGCCATCCAGCCACTCGCGCAGGCTCGCGGGGAGCCTGGCTCCTGGAAGGACCGCGAGCTAGCGGCGAGGCCAGCGCTGGTGCTGCTTGCCCAGGGACGCGCGGTCCCTGGCTCCCGCCGCCGCCGCCAGAACGCCGCGTGGCACGCTCAGCGAGTCCCGCCAGGCGGATTCGCCCACGCGTCCGCGGCGGACATCGCGTGGGCCTCTGCAAGCCCCAGGCTCGGCAGAGGCGGCGCTGAGCCCATGCCGTGCGGTGCCACGTCGACCGTCGGCGTGCAGCTGGATGCGGAGGCCCAGCGCGTGGACGCCTCGCCCCTCCCCGCTGGCGCACCCCAAGAGGCTGCCGCTGGCCACCCCTCCATCCTGGCGAGGACCTTCCTCGTCCTGGTAAGGTTCCTCGCGCTGGCGACGATGCCGACGTTCGCCCAGATGCTGGTGAACTTCCTCGCGGTGCTGCTGGTGCTGACCGTGGTCCCCACGACGGCCCAGACGCGCAACAGATGGGTGAGCACGACCCGCGCTCCCACGCGCCCGACGTGCCCGAGGACGAGGACGGGGAGGTGGCGGAGCAGTCGCACGACCGGGGATGCCCCGCGCTGCGCGGGGACTTCGGGCACGCTGAGCAGGCCAACCCTGTCGCGCCGTTCGTGTGGGCGCTCCCCCGCTTCAAGAAGCGCATGCCGGCCCTCGGCGACGAAGACGAGATCCATCCTGACGGTCGCGACGGTCACCGTGCGAGCGGCTTTCGGCGGAGACGGCGGGCCCCACGCGGGGGCGGGCGATAGCTTCGAAGGTGCCAGCGCGTCTGAAGCGCCTCCTCGGGGCGCGGCAGCTGCTCCTCGGGCGGCTCTCGCCACCCTGAGGCTCCCGACGCCCAAGCGCACGCCCCTCCGCGTCCACGCCTCTCCCTTCGCTCCCAGCCTCGGCGTCGCCACCGCGAGCGACGCCCCAGGCGGGGAGGCGGAGGGGCGCGGCCCTCGGGCGCCTGCGGGAGATCCCCATCTTCCCCGCAGCGTGCGGCAGGCGCCCGAGCGGTGCTGCACGGGGCGAGGTTGGAGTGCTTCCTCGGCGAGTGCCTCGCGCAGCAGTTCCGAGGCAGCTGCCGACGAGCTAGACCCGTCACAGGACGGCTTCGACTCTGGCTCGTCGGACCGACTTTCATTCCAGGGTCGGCGGCAGTGTGCTTGCGTGAGGTGCCCTTGCCGATCCGCGTTCCTGCGAGCGCCTCCTTCTTCTACCTGATCGCGGCGAGGCTCGCTCCTGCAGTTACGGTCGCACCTGGGTGCGCTCTCCGATCTGCTCCGATATGATCTGCTCCTCCTCCTCCTCCTCCACCTCCTCCTCCTCCTCTTCCTCCTCATCCCTGTCGCACCCCGAGGCCAGTCGAACGGGCGGGCCGGGCGCTTCGCCTGAGACTTCCTCACCACTCTTGACCCTGAAGCTTTGAAATTGGCAACAGCTTCACAGATGGAGGGCGTGTGGTTTTCAAAATGTGGCTACCCCCTTAGCGCCGCGCACATTCGCTTCAAACCTTTACGCGAGTTTTACGTATTGAGTGGTTTTCAAAATATGGCTCTTGCCTGAACGACGCACACATTTGCCATACAATGTTGTCCGGGTTTGCGAAGTGAGGGCGGGTCGTTTTCAAAATGTGGCTCTTGCCTGAGCGCCGCACACATTCGTATTTCAAAAACGCAAGGGTTTTACGGATTGAAGGCGGGCCGTTCGAAATGTGGCTCTCACTTTCGCGCCGCCCAAGTTCGTCTCAAAAGCTTGCAAGAGCTTCGCGGATTGAGGGCGGTTCCTCTCTTTCCTCGAACCCCCTCCTCCTCCCTTCCTCCCTCCCCCTTCTCCTCCATTCATGTTCTTTCTCTGTGTATATATAATATACATACATACATGTATATATCTAGCTTACAAACTAAGTAACTCTTCCCATTCGCACCCCGAGGCCAATCGAAAGGGCGGGCTGGGCGTTTCGCCTGAGACTTCCCCACCAATCATGACCCTGAAGCTAAAAAAGTGGCAACGGTCTCACAAATGGAGGGCGGGTAATTTTCAAAATGTGACTCTCGCCTTAGCGCCGCACACACTCGTTATAAACATCTGCACGAGCTTCACGGATTGAGGGCAGGTGGATTTCAATATGTGGCTCTCACCTTAGCGCCGAGCACATTCGATTTAAACAATTGCAAGAGTTTCACGGGTTCCCACGATCAACGAAAGGTGCTTTGGAGGGACTCAGGATCGTGAGTGCACAACCGATACGTTGATTCGCGGAGATGAAGTCCCTGGAATAATGTCCCGACGCGACTCAGGATCGCCAAGACGAAACAGTCATATTGATCCGCGGCGTTGGGGTCCCGAGAACGGTTGACTCCCAACGAAGCAATTTCCTCTGAGGAAATAAAACCCTTGAAGGGGCCTATGATGAAGTGGGCTTAGAGGAAGGGTTTATTCCTACATCGTTGACGAGTCTTGTGTTTACACTGGTCCTCCTCCTCCGCCTCCTCTTCCTCCTCCTCCGCTTCCTCTTCCTCCTCCTCATCATCATCATCATCCTCCTCCTGCTCCTCCTCCTCCCTCCTCCTCCTCCTCTTCCTCCTCCTCCTCTTCCTCCTCCTCCTCCTCTTCCTCCTCCTCCTCATCCACCTCCTCCTCCTCCTCCTCCTCCTCCTCCTCCTCCTCCTCCTCCTCCTACTCCTACTCCTACTCATACTCATACATTCCTTTGCCTCCTGAATAACGTCTCGCTGTCACACCTCGAGGCCGGTCGAAAGGGCGGGCCAGGCGTGTCGCATAAGACTTCCTCACCATTGAACGACCCAGAAGGTAAAAAATTGGCAACGGCTTCACAGATGGAAGGCGGGTAGTTTTCAAAATGTGGCTCTCGCTTTAGCGCCGCACATATTCGTTTCAAGAATTTGTAGACGCTTAACGGATTGAGGGCGGGTGGCTTTCAAAACGTGGTTCTGGCCCTAGCGCTTCGCACATTCGTTTTCAAAATTTGCAAGAGCTTCACGGATTGAGGGCGGCTCGTTTTCAAAATGGTGCTCTGGCCTTAGCGCCGCGTACATGCCGTTTTGTAAGTATTAAAGAGATTCACAGATTGAAGACGGTTAGTTTTCAAAATGTGGCTCTCGCCTTAGCGCAATGCACATTCGCTTTGAAAAAATTGCAAGAGTTTCACGGATTCCCATGGTCAACGTGCCAGAAGCTACGTTTTGGAAGGATTCTGGATTATGAGGGTGCAACAGTTACGTTGGTCCGCGGTGTTGAAGTCCCAGGAATGGCGTTCTGGCACGAGTCAAGACCGTCAAGACGCAACAGTCAGGTTGATCGGTGGCGTTGGAGTCCCGAGAATAATGCTTTGGCATGCTTCTGGCTCTGCAAACGGTTGTCTTCAAACGAGGCAGTTCCCTCAGCATAACAATGAATCCTTGCAGGGGTCTATGAAGAGGGAGCTTGGAGGGAGGGTTGATGCCAACATCGTTGATGACCCTTGGGTTTACGCTCCTCCTCCTCCTCCTCCTCCTCCTCCTCCTCCTCCTCCTCATCATCATCATCCTCCTCTTTCTCTTCCTCCTCCTCCTCCTCCTCCTTCTCCTCCTCCTCCTCATCATCATTATCTTACCCTTGGGCCCAGGCCGAGACCAGAGTCGTCGCACAGATGCGCCAACCCTCCCGATGGCCGACCTTGGCCTTGATGGCAGCGCAGACGTCGCTGACCTGCTGGAGCTCGGTCTTGCCGATCTTGTCCTGCAGGGCCCGCTCCAGGTTGCTGGCCTGAGTCTTCATCCCCGTGATCACCCCGTCCATGGCCTGCACGCAGTCCATGCCCTCCCAGACGCCGCGCTCGATGCTGGCGACCTTGGCCTGCTGCACTTGGAGGGCCTCGTCGAGCTGGAAGATCTTCTGGACAGCCTCTAGGCGGAAGTGAACGGGGAGCAGGGAGCAGGGAGCAGGTAGGAGCGAAAATGGACGAGAGAGGCGGAAGAAAGCAGAAAGAGGACGGGGAGGAAACGGATATGAAAAAGGGGGGGTCATGGAGAGAGGGAGGGAAGGAAATGAGGAGAGGATGAGGAGATGGAGGAGGAGGAGGAGGAGGAGGAGGAGGAGGAGGAGGACGAGGAGCACAAGGAGGTGGAGGACGGGGAAGCATCTCTTCTGGACGGCCTCCGATCTCTCCTGCACTGCCTGCTCGACGGCGGCGAGCTTGGTCTCGTGTCCTGCAGACAGGGAACGCAGCTGCTGGAACTCGGCCAGTGGGGCTTTCTCCTCAAGGAGCACAAGCCTACCAGCCATAACTGGGGGAGCTGTGGTCCTTACCCCCCTGGGGGAACCCATCGCATCGAGGGTCTATCGAGAGGGGTGTCGAAATCGATGGGTCCCCCAGGGGGGTTAAGGACCACAGCTCCCCCAGTTTTAGCTGGCCTGACAAGTAAAAGGAACAGGTGTGGAACTGGGAGGGGAGAAAGAAGGGGAAGACGGAGGGGGCCGAGGAGAGGGTGGGACGGGGACAGGGACGACGAGAAGATGGGGAGGGGTGGGACGAAGAGGACTATGAGGAGGAGGAGGAGGAGGAGGAGGAGGAGGAGGAGGAAAAGCGGACGAGAAGGGAGAAGAAGGAGGAGGAGGCAGAGGAGAAGGCGGAAGAGGGTGAGGAAAGTGAGGAGTGAGGATGAGGAGTTGGAGGAAGAGGAGAAGAAGGAGGATCAGGTTGAGGACGCGGGGGGAAGAAAAAAAAAAAAAAAAAAAAAAAAAAAAAAAAAAAAAAACTGTATTCTGAGATGCCACAGCAAGCTTACAAGGTTACCGCTTGAGCCTGGCATTGCCACCATGTATTAGAGGTGTGCCGGTTATGTTGGCGGATTTCGCAAAACCTGATGGGGATAGTTGGAGATATACTGAACTGCCACAGAACAGCAGAAGGGCGCCCAAACGCTTGTGAACAAAGTGACTGAATGGCAAGCGCTGTTTCCTGAGATGCTACACCAAGGTGGCGATTTGAGGAGCGCAGCGCAGCCACGTTCAATCGCTGCCGACTTACATTGGCGGATAACTCAGAAGCCTCCCAAATCCACATTTCTGACTGCGTAGCCCACTTACTCTGAAATTGCGGGAAACACGCAGGAAGCGAGGAGGCAGCACAGAGGAAGGGAATGATGCAGCGCAGTCTGAGAGCACCAGGCCCACAAGGCATCTGCACTCTCGAGAAAATTACGCTGACAGTACGATGCCGACCCAGCGCCACACTTGAGACGACACAGGCACAGCGACCCGAGGTCAAAACAATAAAAAGAGCGCCGTTGTCTTTCAAAGTTCGAGATCTGGCGACAATCGGAAGCCTGGAAACTAGCGCAGAGACGGCCGCCAAGGCCCTGACATCAGAAGCCAATCAAATCTTACTGGACCACATGGATCTCTCAACGGACTGGGAGGCCTACGGACGCTGGAAATTTCATCACACGGACAGCTCCTCGAAAGCAACTGCATCGACCAGTCACTTGTATCACTCTTTTCTCAGAGAGTTCTTGCTGGCACTCCGTACAGACAGTTGCGTCGTCTGACCCTGGCCACGAGCCCATGCCATCCCTTCGCTCCGCCATCGACCAGACCTGACACGGGGCGGCAGCACGACGAGTCCTGGCCTCAAGCCCTGCGCAAGCCCCTGACGCTGTCTGGCGAGCGACGCAGGCCACCTCGAGCCAGGCACCGCGGCACCCAGACAGACATGTCCCACGGAAAATGCCTGCACGCCGAGGCCTGGGCTGAACCAGAGAACAGCAAAGAAAGGAGGCTGGATCGGAGACCGAGGATCCAGGTTCGGTCGATGGTCGAGGATCCAAGTTCGAGCGAAGATCGATCGGGAAGCAAATGGAGGGAGGGTGGACTTTCGGGCGCCTTTGCGCGGCCAGCGTTGTCTCCATTGTTTTCGTGGCGGCCCACCGTGCTGCCAGAGTGTCCCGCTGCAGGGGTCGTTCGGCCGTTCGTGCCAGGGCGCCCAGCTCCGCAAATGAAAACGTTTTGTCGGCTACACGCAGGAGTGACCATGGATAAGAGTGACCTTTGGTGCGCGGCTTTTGGGGGGCCGCAGGGGGACCAAACACAGGCGCGCAAGACGCCACTAGCGCATCGCGTTCGGCGACGGGGGGCCCCACTGGGCCCGCACCAAAGGCCACTCCGGCGAAAGGGCACTCTTACGTCTAGTCGACTGTGGCACGCAAGCACCAATAATTTCCTCGGGTGGAAGACTCAGCGAGCGAAGAACGGTATAAGATAAACTTTTTCGCTGTCGGGGGCGCCTGTCCAAGGGCGGCTGGAAAGTTTATACCCCTACGGTGCCACTGTAAGGGTATAAACTTTCCAGCCGCCCTGGGACAGGCGCCCCCGACAGCGAAAAAGTTTATTTTATACCGTCCTTCGCCCGTTAAAAGACGGGCGCCGCCGTGGCGCCGCCGGTACCCGAGGGCGGCCATGGTCGCGCCGGCGCACCAGCAGACGACGACGGTGCAGACGCGCTCTGCGAGCGCCCGCGCCGTCGTGCCCCCGCGCCCGCCCCGCTGACGCCGCCGGCGCAGCTGCGCCGCCACGGCAAGTTCGTCGTCGTCGTCGTCGACGTCGTCGTCGCCGTCCTCGTCCTCGTCGACGTCGTCGTCGTCCTCGTCGTCGTCGTCGTCGACCTCCTCCTCCTCCTCCTCCTCCTCCTCCTCCTCCTCCTCCTCCTCCTCCTCCTCCTCCTCCTCCTCCTCCTCCTCCTCCTTGTCCCCGCCGCGAGGGCGCTCGCCGCGCCAGCGCGCAGACGCCCGCCCGACGGGAGACGGGGCGCCACGCTCCCGCCCGCCGCAGGCGGGGCAGGGGCTGGGCAGGGGGGGGGCATACGAGGCAATCGCCGCACGAGAGGCGCGAGGAGGAGGAGGAGGAGGAGAAGGAGGAGGAGGATGGGAAGGAGGAGGATGGGACGAAGGAGGAGGAGAAGGATGCAAGGAGCAGGGGATCAGGAGCAGGAGGAGGAAGAGAGGAGGAGGAGAGGGGAGGAGGGAGGGAGGAAGAGGAGGAGGAGGAGGAGGAGGAGGAGGAGGAGGGAGGGGAGAGGGGGAGGAGAGGGAGAGGGAGAGAGAGGAGGAGAGGGAGAGAAGAGGAGGAGGGGGGAGGAGGAGGAGGACAGGAGCAGGGGGAACAGGAGGAGCAGGAGGAGGAGGAGAGGAGCAGGAGGAGGAGGAGGGGAGGAAGAGGAGGAGCAGGAGGAGGAGGAGGAGATGGGAGGACGAGGAGGAGGGAGGAGGAGAGGAGAGAAAGAGGAAGAGGAGGAGGGGGAGGAGGAGGAGGAGCGGAGGAGGAGGAGGAGGAGGCGGAGGCGGAGGAGGAGGAGGAGGAGGAGGCGGAGGTGGAGGAGGAGGAGGCGGAGGCGGAGGCGGAGGCGGCGGAGGAGGAGGAGGAGGAGGAGGAGGAGGACGAGGGGGAAGCGCTGCAGCCTCGTTGCCACAGTCCGCTCTACGCAAAAGGAGGGAGGAGGGAGGAGGAGGAAGAAGAAGACGAAGACGAAAAGGCGAGAGCGAGGGGAGAGGAGGGACGGAGGGATGGATTGAGGGACGCAGGGAAGGAAGGACGGGGGTGGAGGAAAAGGACGAAGAGGAGGGAGGGAGGGAGGGTGGGAGGGAGGGAGGGAAGCGGGGAGGGAGAGAGGAAGGGAAGAGGAAGGATTCGAAGAGGAAGGAAGGAGGGAGGAGGGGGGAGGCAGGGAGGGAGGGAAGAGGGAGAGAGAAAGGGAAGGAGGGAGAAGGAAAGAGTCGAAGAGGAGAGGGAGAGGAAGGCGGAGGGAGGGTGGAGGACGACTAGGACGGGGTTCCTGCAGGGACTGGTCGAGGCCAGTGATCTGGGCCTGGCACTCCGTGAGGGCGCTCTTCAGCGCCTGCAGGCGGTCTGGGCCGACTTTCTCGTGCAGGCCCTGCTCAACCACGGACACCTGGGAGGACGGAGGAGGGAGGTCCTCGGCTACACACCTCCTCCTCCTCCTCCTCCTCCTCCTCCTCCTCCCCTCCCTCCTCCTCCTCCTCCTCCACCTCCACCTCCTCCTCCTCCTCCTCCTCCTCCCTCCTCCTCCTTCCTCCTCCTCCTCCTCCTCCTCCCTCCTCCTCCTCCTCCTCCTCCTCCTCCTCCTCCTCCTCCTCCTCCTCTTCTTGTACTTATGATTATGATTATTGCGCTCATGGTTCGTAATATTACTGTTGTTAATATTGTGTTTCGTCTTACTTTAAATATTGGTATTATATTATGTGTATTACTGTTAATATATGTCGTGGGTGTATGATTTTCGTATTAGTGGTATTACTCGTATTAGTGGTTACGGGTATGCTTCGTATTAGTAGCATTAGCATCATTAGTTTTAGTCGTCTTAGTGATAGCATGTGTCCTAGCATTCCCATGTTTAGTCGTATTCTTCGTATTCACATTATTTCACATTATATACGATTCCTAGTAGTAGACAGATTCGTATTAGTATTCGTGTTATTCATAGTATTTGTAGTATGGATTTTAATTTAATACACATAATATGATTATGTGTATTATTATTCTTACCATTAGAAATATTGTTCGTCGTGCTATTAGTATTAAAACTAGTATTAGTATGCTTATTCGTGCTAGTACGATTCGTATCAGTCTTTTCCGCAATATCATCCTTAGTAGTCTTATTAATAGCATGAGTAATATTATTCGTCGTACTATTGGTGTCTGTTTCAATAGTCTTATGTTTAGCATTAGTAGCAGTAGCGTTAGTATCACTAGTATTGATGGTGATACTATATGTGGTATGAGTCTAGTCTTCTTAGTATGAGTAGTATGGTTGCCCTCTTGTTGTTAATATAGTTCGTCTTATTGTTATTGTTCGCGTGTTTCTTCCTATCAGTAGTATGATCCGTGCTTTTTGCTTTTGAATTAGCATGATGAGTTCTAGTAGTGTGTTTGCTCTTCATGTTGCCAATCGCATTATTATTCGTGTTGTTCGTCTTAGCATTCGTATTATTGTTATCGTAGTAGTATATATGATAATATTACTAGCATGCCTAGTCGTATGACTGGCACCATTAGTCATCTTAGTTTTACCATTAGTATCCGTATTATTATTCGTATTAGTCTTACTCGCATAAAGATTGATAATAGCAGTCGTCGTGTTGTTATGTTTCGTCTTATTTGTATTATCATGCTGTTTATGATTGGTAGGTTTACTATTCACATTCCTCCTCCTCATGATCATTATCCATCTGATCCTCCCCCTCCTCCTCCTGCTCCTCCTCCTCATCCTCTTCCTCCTCCTCCTCCTCCTCCTCCTCCTTCTCCTCCTCATCCCCCCCTCCTCCTTCTCCTCCTCCCCCTCCTCCTACTCCTAGGAGGAAGAGGAGGAGGAGGAGGAGGAGGAAGAGAACCCTGCAGAAAAACGACCTTTGGCGCGCGGCTCTTTGGGGCCCGCAGGGGGGGGCCAGCACACGAGCGCGCAAGACGCCGCTGCCGCCTCGCACTCGGCGATCGGGAGACCCCAAACGGCCCCGCACCAAAGGTCACTCCGGCGAAGGTCCTCCTCCTCCTCCTCCCTCCTCCTCCTCCCTCCTCCTCCTCCTCCTCCTCCCTCCCTCCTCCTCCCTCCTCCCTCTCCTCCTCCTCCCTCCGCCCTCCGCCCTCCTCCCTCCTCCCTCCGCCTTCCTCCCTCCTCCCTCCCTCCCTCCCTCCCTCCCTCCCTCCCTCCTCCCTCCTCCCCCTGTGCGTGTAGTCGAAGGAGGGAGGTCGGACGTCGCAATATTTTCACACCGGGTGCTTTCGCCCAGTGTCTGGCCCCAGGGCCATCACAGATCGATCTGGCTCGAAGAATGCGGGAGGATGATGGGGTCGCTAGGGCTCTGGTCGCAACGTCGGATCTCGGGGGAGGCAGGGAGAAGACAAGACGGAGGAGGGAGGAGGGAGGAGGGGAGCGAGAGGGAGAGGGAGAGGGAGGCACAAGGAGGGAGGGTGGGAGGGAGGGAGGGGTCATGGAAGCTGCCTGGCCTTGGTGGCTTGGGAAGGGCGGGCTCGTCGCCACGGCCGGATTCGCCTCGAACTCTTAGTCAGGACGCAGTCCAGGAGAGATCGGAAGCCGAGTTCGACAGGGCAGGAGGAAGAGGAGGAGGCGGAGGAAGAGAAGACGAATCCCACCAGCCCTTCAGGGCGTCGGTGGTCTAGGGTGCCTTGTTTTCCATCTGCCCTGCCCCTCTTCCCCTTCGGGGAGGGGTTCATCACTGTTGCTTGTTAATAGACAGCCCCTCCCCCACCCTGCCGGCGACCAACCCGGAACCATGCCGACTCCATGCGGGCCCGCCCCCCAACATCCCTGTCAAAACACAATGCAATACACACTCTGCCTCCAAATTTGGAGCATGCGCGGCCAACCCTACGCAGCCCCCCCCCACACCATCCCTGTCAAAAACAATGCAAAGTACACTTTGGGGCAAGTTTTGAGCCATGTTCGTGAAGCCCGCGAGCACATTGTATTGTTTTTGACAGGGACGGCGGGGGTGTCAGCACATTCCCTGCTGCGCGCAGGGCTACCACCCCTGACAAAAAACATTACATCATGCACCTCGCGGCTAAATCTGGATCATGCGCGGCCATCCCGCGATCATTGTCAAGTTGTTTTTGACAGGGACGGCGGGGGTGGTGCCGCGTGGCCTGCTGCGCGCAAGCCCACCAAACACAATGATGGGCTTTGGTTTTCGACAAGGATGGCGGGGGCCGAACTGTTTCTCGATGTGTGCTGTCACGCGCGCGGGCGCACCTGACGCACACTGCACCTGCCCCGAACGCGGCGCACCTGGCGCGGTTGGACTGTGCTGCACACCTGGCGCACTCGGAGCACGTGGCGCATCTGGCGCATCAGGCGTGCCTGGCACGCTCGGGCCCCAGAGGTGCCTGGCGCGCGTGGCGCCCCTGGCACGCGTGGCGCACCTCGCCTAAGCGTCGCGCACCTGGGGTCGGCTTTGGTTCCCACTACCTGTGCATCCAAAGACGGCCGCTGAACATGCTCAGGCTCGGGTGATACTTATGTGTTGGCAGGGCGGGTGTGAATGAGCTAAACGACTTGCGGGCAAGTGGGTAGTTTGATCACTGTTCCTCAATAGTATACACCCCCTCCCCCAGGCGACCAGCGTCCAACCAGGAACCATGAGGACACCATGACGACCCGCCCCCCACCATCCCTGACAAGAGAATACACTACGCACTCTGCCTCCACATTTGGAGCATGCGCGGCCAACCCGATGCGCCCCCCCACACTCGATCCCTGTCACAAACCATGCACAATACACTTAGGGGTAAACTCTTGAGCCATGTTCGTCAAATCCGCGAACAGTTTGCATTGTTTTTGAAACGGACGGCGACGGGGGGCAGGGTATCCCCTGCCGTGCGCAGGGCGACCACCCCTGACACAAAACGACAACAACGTGCACCTCGCGGCAAAATCTGGATCATGCGCGGCCATCCCGCGATCACTGCCAAAATGTTTTTGACGGGGGCCGCGGGGGTGGTGGCGCGTGGCCTGTTGTGCGCAGGCCCACCAAACACAATGATGGGCATTGGATGTCGACAAGGATGGCGGGGGCCGATATGTTTCTGTCACGTGCGCAGTGGCGCACCAGGCGTGCCTGGCACGCTCGGGCCGCAGAGGTGCCCGGCGCGCGTGGCGCCCCTGGCACGCGTGGCGCACCTCGCCCACACGTCGCGCACCTGGGGTCGGCTTTGGTTCCCAGTAGCTGCCCATCCAAAAACGACCGCTGAACATGCTCAGGCTCGGGTGTTACTTGTGTGTTGAAAGGGCGGATGGGAGTGAGCCAGACTGCTTGCAAGCGGGGGGTGGCTTGACCCCTCCCCCCCCCCTGGACCTGGACGGGGGGGGGACGCGGGAAATTGTTTCAGGTTCAGGGGCATGTGGACAGCAGCGTCAGATCAGAACGCACACGAAGCACAGAGCCACAAACTAGACACTCTTCGCTAACATACACAATACCATGCAACAGAGAGAAGACAAGGCGAGCGAGCGAAAGAAGAGAAGCGGGAGGAGAGAAAGAGCAGCGAAAAACGTTTAGGGCGCGGCTCGCTGGGCCGCCTCGAGACCCTCGCACCACCGTCTGTGGACGTAGCCACGATAGGCGCGGGCGCGCGTCCTGGACTCGTTAGCCTCGGGCTCTGCGAGCCGCTGCAGGTTCTACCAGTTCAACGGCTGGAAACGAAGCAACGGGCCAGACCGTGCACGAGCGTCGCGGCCACGCTAGACGCGCGAGTGCCAAGTTATCAATGACTTGGCCCAGAGATGGCTCCACAGGCCCACCTTCACGGCCGAGCAGTTTGTCAACTTCCGCCGCCGCCGGCAATGAGACTCAACCGCGCCCCCAGCGCACGGTCGCACCTTCATCAGGGCGCCCACCATCTGGCGCGGGATGCGGCCCAGCCGGTCGGCGCACGACTGCCGGCAGTGCCATCTCGGCCAACGGAAGGGACCGATCGGGGCAATCGACGACTTGAGAAGCCCCATTTTGCAGACTCCGGGGACGCGAGCAGCCCCCGGGAAAGATTGCCGAAGAAACAGCGCCACATGCTCAGGTCTCGATACTGCCGTTGTCCTCCAACCAGCGCCCTAGGCATCGCATGACATTGCGCCGCTGCCGTGGCCGCGCGACGGACACGGCGGCGCGGCAACCCCGGCAAACGGGGAATTCTCTCGAGTCTTCACCGCACTGAAGCCGTCAATTCTGCGCGAGGAACAGCCCGCAATCTTCCAAGATAGCGACCGCGGCCTCTGGGGGGTGGCTCGGGGCCACCAGGTGCCCACGTACGTCGCGAGAGCCACGCAGACGCCGTCGGCGAGGAAACCTCGCGTCTTCCAGTCTGCCCCCCGCTGGAGGGCAGCGTAAAGGTGGCATTTCCCAGCGGCAGACGCTGACT